AATTAATATACTTATTAGCAAAAACTAAATAAAACTATATATCATTTTAATCAGTAAAATAAATATAGTGATAGACAAAAGACTTAAATAATAGTTAATAGAAACAAGATTACAAAATAATAATTTCCAAAATAAAATTTAAAACATTTGTAAATTATAAAAATCTAAAACATTCACCTTTTAGAAACATACAGACTATTTGGGGCTCCTTAAGCTATCCACCTCAGCTTTTCAAACTACTCTAAAAGTATGACACATCAGCAAAAAATAATAATACAAATTCTCACTTTAGATTTTTTTGGAATACACATAAAGTAAATAAATAGAACCAAAATTAATATAGTTAAATACAAGAGTAAATAAAAATAAATTATTATTTTTTGAATCAGTAAAATAAATATTATTTAAATCTATAGCATCAATATATACTTTTTTGTTTGTAATATAACAAATTAACAATAATGAAAATTCTCACTTTAGATTTTTTGAAATACACATAAAATAAATAAATAAAACCATTAAATTAATATACTTATTAGCAAAAACTAAATAAAACTATATATCATTTTAATCAGTAAAATAAATATAGTGATAGACAAAAGACTTAAATAATAGTTAATAGAAACAAGATTACAAAATAATAATTTTTAAAATAAAATTTAAAACATTTGTAAATTATAAAAATTTAAAACATTCACCTTTTAGAAACATACAGATTAAACATCATAGTACGTTAGATTTATGGCAACCAACAAGACAACATAAATTATAGGAAGCTTTTCAAAGCATCTATCTATATGAAGATTTCGATCATTACTATTTACATTGCAGAAAATGATAGACAAAAGAAGAATTTCATGCACTGATATTTATTCAATGTGTGTCTTAGTTGGCTTAAGGTAGTCAAGTTACTACAAGCGATACATGTCAACACATGAGTTAAACAGTTTATAAACAAAAATTAAGTTTTAAATGACAGTTAATTTTTATATATATCAAGTTAATAAATTCTTAAATTAAATAATTATGCATTTTTGAAAAAATAACATACACATTTTAATGTAGAAAAAAATGTCTAAAAAAATCTTTAATTATCCACATCAACAAAATTCTTTATAAACCCAACTTGAATGAAAACTAATATGGTTTTTTTACTGGGTTAAGAAACTCCTTTAAAAATAATATAATATATATTATTAGTTTAATTATAAAGGCTCATCAAAATATATATGTGTAGTTTAAGAAAAAATGTTTAAGTTAAATTACAAGCAAAATGTTTTACATCTTTTGAGTTTTTAGAAACTCAACATACTTTATTTAACATAATGAGTTAGTATGAAATTGTATTTGTATATGTATTATTTGCCTTATTCATCTATATTTTTTTATAGTTTACGTATATTTCATAGACCAAATCAAAATTGAATTTTATCAATATGATTGTGATTTTTTATACTATGTAAATATTGTTTTTATTTATATGAATCATAGTTATTTTATAAATTTATAAGAGATTAGAACATTGAGTGTTGTTTGTATTTGAGATTGCTAATTAAATAAAAATACTACACGAACACAGTTGAAATAAAAATAAAAATCTAAATTAATTAGAACAATAATAATCAAATTTAGTCAAAACAAAAATAATTTTAATAATATTTTGAAAGTTAGTAGTGAATAACAGTGAGTTTATATACAAATATTAAGTTTTAGATTAACAGTTAATTTTAGCATATCAAGTAGCTAATTCTTAAAACTATACATTTTTGAATATGTTAAAATATTTTCGATGTATAATCATATCAAAACAATTTTAAAAATTAAATATTATATTTAAAATATTAACTTAAAGTGAAAATAATAAAACTTAAATAATAATCAAATATCTATAAAAACAGTCTGCGCGTAGCGCGGAAATATCCCTAGTCAATACAATAATAACACTAATCTCTCTTTTAGAGATGACACCTCAGCATTTTTGAGCTTTATAAATATAACACCTCAACAAAAATATTCACCAATCAAAACATTTTATTAATACAAATCATTTACTTATTTTAACATTTAAATTTAAATCCATTAAAAACTTAAATACTTTTTCTATTAATCTTTATTTTATTTTTTTACCAAACTCAAGACCAAATAATTAATAATAGTCAATGATTTTTTTTTTTACCAAACTTAAGTCTAAATAATAAATAACAACAAATAAAAAAATCTTTGTTTTTGATGGACAACAAAATTTTCTGTTTTTGATGGATAATGCAATTTTTTGGTTTTCACACAAAAATACAATTTCACAGTTTTTGCGGAAAAATGCAATTTGACGATTTTGACGATTTTGGCTGAAAAAGTAATTTCTCAATTTTATTAAGAAAACACGATTTCTCGGTTCGACGAGAAAACAATTTTTCTTGACTTTGGCGGAAATATGAAATTTCTCTGTTTTGCTTGGAATAGAGGATTTCTTGGTTTCGGTAGGAAAAATGCGATTTTCAGTTTTGCTTGGAAAACCTAATTTATCGGTTATGGCAGAAAAAACAAATTTTTGGATTTTGCGAGAAAATGTGAATTTTTGGTTTTGGTGAGAAAATAAAAAAAAAATGATTTTGACGGAAAAACAAAATATTTTAGTTTTGACGGAAAAATGATCAGTTTTGATGAGAAATACAACTTTTCAATTTTGACAAAAATGCGATTTCTCAGTTTTAATAGGAAATGCAAATCTACTGTTTTTGACGAATAATGCGATTTTTTGGTTTTTGTGCAAAAATATGACTTTTTAGTTTTTGCAGAAAATTGGAATTTGATGATTTTGGCAGAAAATGTAATTTTTCAGTTTGATGAAAAAACAAAATTTCTTGATTTTGGTGGGAATAAGCAATTTCTTGGTTTAGATGGGAAATACAAATTTTCAGTTTTTGACGAATAATGTGATTTTTTTAGTTTTTGCGGAAAAATACAATTTCTTAGTTTTCACGGGAAAACACAATTTCTCGTGAGATAATGCAATTTTATGTTTTTGCGAAAGATTATAGTTTATTTGTTTTGGTAGGAAAGCGTGATTCTTGGTTTGACGAGAAAATGAATTTTTGGTTTTGGCGAGAATAGAAGATTTCTCAGTTTTTGCAGGAAAATAATTTTTTTTTTGATTTTGACGGAAATATACAATTTTTTTATGTCTTTGCAGGAAGATGAATTTTTTTTTTTTTGGTGAAAAACGTGATTTTTTTGGTTTTGGCGAGAAAACACAGGTTCTCACAAAAAAATAAAATTTTAGGTTTTAGGTTTGACGAGAAAATATTTTTTTTTGGTTTTGGCGGGAATAGACGCTTTCTCAGTTTCATAGAAAAATGAAGTTTTTTTGTTTTGATGGGAAACACAATTTTTCGGTTTTTGTAAGAAGATGAAATTTTTCTGTGCTAAATTTCCAAGTTAAAGTATGTTTATAGTAACCAAAATTTAATTATTTAACTTCAACTAAAAACGATATTTCAACTGTTCAAACATAATTTTCTATTTAGTTCTAAAGCAATAGCAATGGTTTTGATATGAATGTTATTCATTATAGTTTGTTAGTTTTAGAAACATATGTTTATAATAAATATTTGATAAATAAATAAATTTTATAATTCAAAATAATCATATTAACTAATAAATCTTTTTTTAAATGGTATTTTGCTTTATATAATTACAAAAGAGGATCAAATGACAATTTATTAGAGAAAATATATTATATTTGCCATTAGTATGAATGTACTATAAATATATTGCTTTATTCTTACACATACATATTTAATTAGTTAGCTAAACAAATTTTATAGTAAATTATAATTTCGAAAAATAAAAAAATTAAAGATATAAATACATAACTTAAGCTAATAGAAAATAATAATATTTATTTACATTATAAAAATAATTTTATTATATTAAAAATATATTCAAAATTTAGAAAAATATCCTGCAGCATAGCACGGATAAATACCTAGTTGATACACAATATTAGTAAAGAAGTTGATATTTTTCCATACTGTGTTGTGATTTTAAAGACTTCTATGATTCTGTCTCAATTTTCTTTAATTTTGTGTCCCATTATCATCGAGGTAAAAGACAATAATTAGACAACGATATTTTTCATCTCGATGTCATTGATTTGAAGCATATTAAAAATATCAATTAATGCAAAGTGCATTTAACTCAAGAACAACATAGAGATTCTAATATGCATGCTGGTTAATTTTCACAAAAGACCATACTATTAATAATGTTTCGATAAATTGTTCAACGTCACGACCACGCTGTCTTAAATCAAACATTTGACTTCGAATTCATACAAACGACGTACGCACGTGCATTTTAGGTTTTGTTTTTCTCAAGTTTGGGATTCTACATGAAGTTAATGATCCTTGGGACCAGAATTTGATCTCCACAAAAGGGTCCTTTTTATTTTATTTTCCTTCTTTACTCAAAATTCGCTTTGTCAAAATCAAGTCAATAATAATAAAATAAACAGATTTCGTATGTCTCTTAATCGGTCGTCGATGACTAGTGTATAGTTACGCCAAAATATTCAAACATACATCGTTAAAGTAAGTATCCGATAATAAGAAAAAGTTTTGTGTAACCCATACTATATATACATGAATACATCCATCATGATTCATGCGGCGATGTAGGTTAGAGAGATTTGCCTCCAATGACTTTTTCAATCTAATGTAATTTGCGAATTTCCAACGGTAGCAAATTAGTAATAATTGCCTATCAAAGTCATATAAATGGATCAAATAAGATGTTGATATGTCATTTGCAATTTCGTAGGGTAGAACAAGGTCTAATCATAGAGTCTAGTTTCATTAAATTCGATATAGACTGTTTTTAATTACCTCATTTGACTGCCATAATATATTTTTGCTAAGCGCTTCGTTTCTAATTAGCTTAGCTTACTATTATTAAATCCACCTATACGTGAAAAGATATATATTTTGAACGAGTTTTTAGGGAAAAATAAACAATTAGCAAAAAAACCTCATTGGGTATTAAATAGTATTACCGTAATAGAGAAAGAGTAATTCGGAACAGAATTAATGTAGTTCTAATTATTATATACTCGTTCCTCAAATCTCGTCTTTTTTTGACGTAATAGCTAGAACCGCTGAGAAAAAGACACGTGGCGACTTCTTCTGTGCGAAGACACGACTGACACAAATCCACGTGGACCCCGCAGCTTAGACCTATAGGCCGTCTCATCGTACGGTCTCCGGTAAAACTTGAGATACGGTACGAACGCTTCACATGACGACTTCTCACCTCCTCCACCGATATTTTTCTCCCCGCGAAAGAACATCGCCGGCGACTGAAAAAATGACGGACGTGGAGTTTGCCGGTACGAAACCGTTTTCGTCTTCTCCGGCAACGGCGTCGATGGGAAAAGACTCTTCCTACAGGCGGCAGGTGTCGCGTCTCTTATACCACGCGCCGCTGGAGAAGCGAAAGAAAGCGACCTTGCGCTGATCGGTGAGACTTTAGAGGCGGTGGAGACGGCAGCGTTTAACGGAGATGTGTCAGTGAAAGAAAGGTACCACGGCTTCAAGGAGTTCTGAGGTACGGTGAAGGCGAATCTTGAAGAAGCTGAGCCAATCGTAGGCGTTGATTTAATCGACAATGCGTCGAAACGTAGAGATGCTGATCTTGGATTTGATGATGATGACACGTGGCTAAAATCGAGCTGTTCGTCGTAGTCTAGCGACGAGACTAACAAGGTGACCGTTGATAGCTCCACGAAAGGACGAACGCCCTGTTAATTCAGTACGAACGAGTTTATCAATATAAATCACAATTAAGGATTATTTAAATGTGTTTAAGTAATATTGTTTACCTTCCAAATGTAAGAGAAAAACGAGGGAGTGTCGATGATAAAGGCCTTGTAAAGTCGGCATGGGTAATTATCTGCGATGATTTTTAGGGTCGCCAAAAGCAAATTTGCAAAGGCAGAGGATGATCTGAAAAAGCCTGTTATTAACAAAAAAAAAAACAAAGAGAATATTAATCAAGTGGGACTAATTATTAGTATTTGTCTAATCGGGTTTGAACAAAATTTAAAGATGTATTTTGCCAGAGAATAATTGTACTTTCATTTTTCTTTCAAAAGAATGCAAATCGAAAAAGGTAGAATTCTAAAAAAAAAACTTATGTGCAGAAAAAAGCATGAATCTTTAAAAGCGTGAAACAAAAATAAATAATACTAACTTTACAATACGATATATAGTAATTATTATTTTCGATGGTAAAAATATCGGTCTTTGTAAACTAAGTAACAATACATGAATAAGTCTTCACAAAATATTTCATAATCACATTCAGTAATTATACTCAGATCTAGCAATAAGAAGAAGTGTTTTTAGTTAGTGGAATTATGGTGAAATTTTTTTAAAAGATTAGCCCTGAATTGCACACCCTTAGTGGGTAATTTACAAAAGAAGTTGACGTTGACACATAAATGAGACAATTCGGACATGGACTTAAAATCAAATGCATAGATGTCCGAAAATCCGGTCCCGGACAGACACGCCTCAATCCAAAATAAGAAAACCAAAAAACCAAACAAAACACAAACATACGGCCACGAAATTACGGATTAGTACAGGCTCCACTCACGGAGATTTGGAAGGTTATCAGGGACAAAAAAGTAATTTCAGTGCTGTTACTATGGCTTCACTAGTACTACACTTACTTGCATCGAAGAGAAGAACAACGCTCTGTTCCGCGTTTCTGGACATGCTCGAGATCGCAGTCTCCATCGTGAACGCCACCAAACGCGTAAATCTTCACAAAATAAAAGAACAAAAAAGAAAAAATCATCATTTTGACGAATATCAATACGCTGGATTAATTTTTGATTAATTATTACTCCCTCCGTTTCATAAATAGTGTCGTTTTATAGTTTTGTTTTTGTTTCACAAAGAGTGTTGTTTTAAGTTTCTAATGCAAATTTATAACAAAATATCCAGTTTTAACCTTGTTATTTTAGTGTATTAATTAGAAAGAGAGAGTTATTTAATGTATTTATTAGGGATAACGAAGACTTTTTATTAACTTTATTAATTTATGTGAAAAGTGTCAAAGTGACACTTATTTTGAAACAGAGGGAGTAAATAACTTCTTACTGTTTCTGCGTACGCATCTTCTGATAATCGTGCTTGAAACGGAAAATCTGTAAAACCAAACTCACTTTTTGTTATCTTAAAAAAGTAACATAAATATTATTTTAGATAAATGGATTATGAAGAAAATTACGATAACGGGTCTGGATTCTCCGTCGTGTCCGGCGATGTAAGCTACACCGTCTGCAAGCTCCGTCGAGAATTCCTCTGCCCCCAAACGCTCTAAACACATAATAACAACAACAAAAAAAAACAAAAGCCTTAAGAAAAGTGTTCGATGTATCAAAACAATAACATATACTTATATAATACAAAAACCATATTACTAATTTGAAAGTGAATCGAAAATATATACCAATAGCAATGTTTTGTCTCCAAGAAAGGCATGAAATTAGTTGCTTCGCAGCTTTCTTCACATTTTCTCCTTTCCCTTTCAAGAACCTCTCCACACACTCTCTGTTACAGAACTTCTCCTGCTCATGAAAAATATATAAAGTTTAAACACATGCAGCTATTTTATCAAGAAAACTAATTAGACTTACTTGTTTAAGAGTGAGTGGAGATTGTTTCCTGAGTACATGAAGAACAGCTTCGACTTTCTCATCTTTCTTGCCCATTTTTCAGATGATCTTGTTCTGTTTTAATTCTTGAAGAACGAAGATTGTTCTTGGTGAACAGAGGATTTGAGGAAAGGGAAAAAAAGAAAGGATTGGATTTTTGGGGGAGAGAAAGAAGAAGCAGCGACAATGATTGTTTATGTGTGTGTACCGCAAGTTTCTTTGTTTCGAGCAAAAAACCTTTGTATCTTTCTCTCTCTATATAAAGTCTGTAGAGACTAATGTTGTGTTATGGAAACGGTTTCTGCCAAAAAAAACTTACATATGTCGGAGGAGTTATTGGCTGATGACGCCGTTATGTCGTTTTGCGGACGTTGATGTTTTAAAAACCGTTGGCCGCCAGTGACGGTTTATAACGCCGTTAAATTGCGCCGCTTGTGTAAATTAATCAGTAACTTTTTTTACAACTTGTGCTTGACTGATTGCTTGGCGAGTCAAATGTTTGTTTATTTCTTAATCATCCTTGGGAATTTGTAATTTCCATTTGTTTTTACAAAATTACTAAAATTATATCTTTTCAAACACGGGCATGAGCTCTATTAGAGTACTTTATAAAGTTCTTGCAAGTTGAGTACTACTAACCAATATATTTTCACGGTCTCGTTTTCATATATATTTATTAATTTAATCAATTTTGATTTTAAGTCTCATGAATTAGTCGTTTTCACTAGCCTTCTTAATCCATCATTAGGGGATGGAACTTGTAGACTAAAATAACATCAGAATAGATCATATGATTTGTATTCGTAAACACCTAGTTCATATATATAAGTCAACGTCTATGTTACCTAGCTCTCACCGCTCAGGCGCTCACGTACATACATACAATGATCGATAGTGACGTTAAGCCAATTAAATGATTTTGCCGCAATAAGAATTCTCATCATATATCCTAAAATGAATCGTTAGTGATTGATTAATTGGTTTCATATTAACAAATACTAATTTCTATACCTCAGTGAAAAAAAAAAAATTCGCTGCATGGTAAACGTTATTAAGCATGCATGTCATCTAGTTTTAAATCATGTAGAGACGCGTTGCGATGAGATATGTATATTTTCAGTTTACAACATATTAGTGTAACTTGAAAATAAAATTATATAAGATAATGTCCAAGTGACAAGATATAATAACTCCATAATATAACAAAAATCCTCTTCATACATTTTGTTGTTGTTGTTGTTGGTAATTTAACCTTTTCATTCAGTTCGTTCTTCTTCGATTAAAATTGACAACTACCGAAATAATGCAATGAAGTTTGAACGAAAAATTTTACCCAAAAAAGGTTGAACGAAAATTCCAGCACCATGAAGGCGTGAACTAGATTTCAAATGAAAATCTAGTATTTTTAGAAAGATTGTTGATGTGACTAATTGCTACTATTGTTTTTACTATTACGTCACATTTTTATCCTAGGTGCAATGTATAGTTGTATACTGTTTCACCTATGTCTTTCAATCGGTAAAACATACAAAATAAACATTTTCTTGTACACCAATAATCAAGCAGGTTAATTTACAAAACCTTACCAGATACTATAAATTAATTACTTTTGGTTGTGGTTTAAAAGAACAGAAACACTCGTGATCTCACAGAGGAAAAAAAAACCATTTACCTTTAACAAAAACAAAAACGAATTAGTTAATAAAATATTCATTTTAATGTTGATTACAACATCATTATTTATTCCATCAAGTGTATAACTTTTTGAATTTATTGAATTTGTACAACAATAGTTAAATGCACCTGAATTGTTTAATTAACTAGGTGATTTAGTTTTACTAATCAATTTTCATTAACCTTAAACTCTAGTTTTAAGATTTTTTTTTTTGGGCAAACCTCTAGTTTTAAGATTCAAAACTAAAAACTAATCAGCCAAAGTGAATATTCTTGAGAGAAAGAGATCGTTGTCGTCACGGCGGCGACTTTGCTCGTATCGCGTAGATGGTTAGTCGTGGCGAATTACAGAAATATCAAGTAAAAGCCACGTGTCAAAGGCAAAGATAACAGAAAAGTGAGTCCACGTGCTCGTTTCTAATGCTTTATGTCTAATGTCCACACACCGACAAATAAAGTCAAAAAGATAATTGATGATCTCTTATGTATATTAACTCAATATGTCATAGAGAATGCACAAGAAAATCGTTGAAGAATGTGACAAATAAAATATATTTTTTCTTTCTGAACAGCTAGATTAGTTATAATGAATCAAATAGCGACAATATAGATTAATAGTTTTGGTCTAGCTTCTTGTCTAGATTAGTTATAATTATTTTGTTGCTGTTTCTAGTAAAAGCATTACCACTTCAAATAAGAATGAAGTGATTATCGCAAGTGATTATGCATGTTGATCTATAGAGTACCGATTTTATTCGTGGCATTTCTTTAGCGCTGATATGTTAAAAAATTTAAATCTTTAATACTTAGTGGAGGCATTTACAATCACATTCCACATATAAGTTAAGATATTTGTTAACAACTTTTAAAAAAAAAATTTCAAATTTTGAATATAAATATCTAGTTTTATTGCATACATGGTCCTCACTATTCCATATACAATGTGAAAGTGGTGGGGATAAGGCAAAGTGATTGTGTAATTATGATGCTTAATCATTAAGGAGAGTTTGGGTGCATGGTTCATTTTAAGAAGTTAACAGATGTAAAAAAAGAATCTAACTAGGTGAGACATATTTTGAAAGAACATAACTTTTTGATATTTGAAAAGGTGAAAATTGATTTTGATGATAGATTTTACTATTCGAATACACGATATGAAATGACAGTTGAAAAATGATTTTTGCTACCAGAAATTTGATGACTAGATAAGAGAAATTGCACATTTTATATTTATTGAGTTTATGCCAAATACAAGTATGATAAGATAAAAGAAAAAGTTATTAATTATTTTAGGTCACTATCGATATTTCAATTTTACCGCTTCTTCTGTATGATACTGATCACACACACAACAATATTGTTACAGACGTACCGACCATGTCTGCGTATTGCTTATCTTTCAATCATACATAATGCAATCGTACCTTTAATTTTAAAGAAAAAGAAAAATATTAACAATTAAAAAATATATCTAAACAAAAAGGCCAATTAAGAAAAAAGAAAACATGAAGTTACAAGACAGAAACGACAGTCCTTATGGCAAAGTTTCCCATCTCTGCTAGTCTTCTTGAGCATGTGGAAATGGAATTCGACTCCAACTTCCCTCAGTGGAGTAAAATGGGCCAGTGAGTCCCAATTTTTTTTTAAAAAGCAGAAAAGACAAAACATAATTTAAATTGTAAGTGAAGTCTTGTTAGTAAAGTGACAGTTTTTTTTTTGGTTTTACAGTAAAATGGAAGTTGAAAAATGTTTAATAACACGATGCTTTAGTAAAATGTATACTTTTTTTTAACTGACTATCTCATTCTTGGTTGGCTGTATTAAATTCAAGAAAATTATTATAATGATCCTAAATTAAGAGTGGATTTGTGAAAGTAACTTTTTTTTCTTACAAAAGATTGGTAAACTTTGACAGAATAAATTATTAAAATTATTCATGCTTTCTCACAGACGAGACAATCTAACTTAGTTAGGCCTTTAGTGGGCTTTTTTGTAGACATGTTTTCCTGGGCTCATACAACACATGACTTCTTTGTCGGACAACACATATTTGCGCAGAAAGGATGTACTCCACTAAATATTTTTGATCGATTTTAATCACTTTTACCCTAGTATAGGTGTTTCTCGGCACTTTGTGCAAAATTTGATTAATTTTTTTTAAAATTAATAATATTAGTTATTTATAGATGAAAAAAATCAAAATTTTTAATTATTTAAAATCAGAATTCATATATTTAAAAAACACAATTTTCATGAAATAATTGTTTTTTGGCCGCATAAATTAATTTTCATAAAATTTAAAATTTACTTGTAACTGCATAAATTATTCTGGTTAATCAAAAATATTAATAGGTTAAACGATCAAATTAAAACTAGTTTAAGAAAATAATTAGGATTGATTTTTTTGTGATTTATGCTGGTTACCTTTTTTTAGTAAGCTGAATACTTTTTTGATATAAATTTGAATTTAGAAATTTAGCTTTTTAAAAAAACAAAAATTAATTAAAAATAAATTATATTAATTTGTTAATTTCAATAAAGTAAATAAAGTATTTTTATTTAAGAGGCAAATAATAATCAACTATCGTAATTTTAAATCACAACTGACCAATTTAAATATTTCCAAATCTATGGTTGTCGGTTTCAAATTTTTTCAAAGTTTATATAAAATCTTATTTTGGTTATATTGTTGATAATTTATTTTGGAATTAAGAAATATATAATTAGACATGCCATTTTTCATGATTCCAAAGTAATTTGTTTTCCCATCTATAACCGATAGTCCACACAAAAAATATATAGATTACCGAATACCGTAGGACAAGTAACTGAAGAAATTTCCTTGCAGTGGTCTCAAAACCGTGATGAAGAAGTTATTTGTGTGCTGAGATAGTGGTACATTAGCAAAAAATCTTGACGAAAACTGTCTTTACAATAAAACAGTAAAACTTTATGCTTTTACCTAATATTAAATATTTCGTAAAAACATATAATAACTTTTCTCAAATAAATCACGATGTTAAAAATCAATAATACAAACTCATCTTTTAAACATAATTAATCAATTCTAGATTGATTTAACCCCTAAATTAAAAGAAGAAGAAGAATACTGAAACTAATCATTATGGAAAAAGTATGTTTAAAATTTAGATAGTGTTTATCTTGACAGATTGAGATGATTAACAATCACTAGTTCAAAAGAAGTTAAAATGCACTCATTTTTGAGTTGTTTACTCAAAATAAAAGTCAAACTGCACTATTTTAATTTATTTTCTTAAACTTATTTCAAAAACAGAAGTAAATAATATATATTCGTGTTACCGTATGTGTATGTGTGTACAAATTAGAAATGGTAGTGAGATTGATTTTAGAGCAAGGAAAGAGATGTCATAAATCCTCCAACTTTTATTCCTCTTTGTTGTTTCTTTAAAATGTTATAGAATTGGTCATAATAAATCGAGAAGATAAGTTGTCACTAAGAAAAAAGAAACAAAAGACTCTAATATTTTAGTCAAAGGGAATTTACACTATACAGCTCATATTTCTTATTAATTAAATAAATGACTTTGATATGTTTAAACTTTAAAGTAAGGAATATATTGGGTTGGTTTTACTATCAAATTATTTTTATTTGATATTATGCTATGAAACCAGAAAATATATTGTTGTGTACTCGAATGGAAATCAAATGTCAAGTGTATTACTCTCATGTAATCAGTCCACCCATTTTTAGATAAAAAAAGTATTTCAAAAGCAATGGTAAATGATCTCATACGTATATGTGTGTATAAAATTAGAAATGGTGATATTGGTGAGATTGATTTTGAAGAAAGGAAAGAAAAAGTAGATTGACGACTTCTAAGGCACCCTAACATTACCACAGCTGTCTCTCCACAATTGTCATTTGCTTCCATATTTACTCTTTTCGTCATTTTTATTTCAGTGTTCTCCCAAGTAAAATCACCTTTAGAGGTTGGTCCAAATTGGTGTATCTTTAATACGAATCCAAAATTTTGTAGTTTACTAAGATTGTCCCACGCACTTCTTTTGAGGGGCCAAAGGCCATGTTAATTAAATAAAAACATTTGATTATCATTGCTTCATTGACCATTATTTTTGAATTTATCATGTCTTAAAAATCATTAAACTTAAAGACACTCCTACAATTTAGCACTTAGCAGATAGTCATTATAATAAAAATTAAACCTAGTATTATTTCGTTACAATGTTGGACAATCGTATATGTACATAAGTAATGAAGCATAACAACAATGTACAAGTTGTCAAACTCATTAATAAATTAAGAAGTGTGAAGAGAAAAGATGATAGGTGAAATGGAATTGTTCTTGAGGCACAAGTGAGCTTCAAAAAAGATAGAGAGAGAAAGATGTTTGACAAACACCTAATACCAAAGAGACCCCATCACAATAAAACATTAAGTCACAGTTTCATCATTCTTCCTCAATATTGCGTTATACTTCATCAAAACTCATGAACAGAAATCTAATAAACTACTAATTTTATCAAGCTGGGATCCATGTGTCGCGGTTAAAAGCATTGTGAAACTTATTTAATAATAAATTTGTATGGTGAAAATGAAATAAAAAGAAAAAGAAAAAAAAGAAAAAAGAAAGGAAAGAAAGATGGAGATGGTGGCTTGGGCCATACTTAAAAAAGGAACATATAAAACACGTTGATGTGGCTGCCTTCATTCTTCATTTTCCAAGGTGCAGCACTGTGATTGGTTGGCTTCTTGATTTGGGTCCATATATGTTATAATTTGCGTATATCTATGTATCTATATATATATATTAGATAGTGTAATTAATATTTCATATTTGCAAGAGCCTCAGGCACTGTATGAGAGAAATGGGCTGGCTTCATTCTTTCTTCTCTCCCTTGAAGAAACTATGGTTTCGCGTCAATTCTGCTCAAAAGAAGAGTATGCTCTCTGTCTCTCTCTAGTCTCTACACAATATATCTTTTTTTTATTTTACAGCATTATGTATGTATTCACATCTATATGTGTCTATAAATGTGATGAACGAGTTAATCATATACTCCATATTTTTTATTTTCTGGATCATATACTCTTTACCAAAAAAAAAACTATGAAAATGAGTTTTGTTTTGCAATATGAACATATGTAGGTGTGTGTTTGCGCGCGCATTTCATTGTGTTGATGTAGAAAGATGAATAAATGTGCAGGAAGAGGAATATACATATTATACGAGGACGTGAAGTCATGTCCATACGAAGATGTGCATGTTTTATGGTCTATACTCGTGGAATCTCACCCACACACTCTGCAACTCAAACAATAATTAAAAACTCCATTTCATTAGTGTTGCATAACTCTCTTTTTGGTTCAGAGGGGTCATATACTGATCGAATGTTCTCGCATCATGCTCAAGGACGAAACAAAGGAAAAACTTGTTAACGAGATGATTCATATATATATGTTTTCTCTCTTCACTTGTACATATAATATATATACACAGAGATTCTCTTTCCCAGACGGTTTATATCCTCTCTCGCGACTATATATTTATGTATGTACGGTTATATACTTAAATATCGGTATATACAATTTAAAGAAAATATCGGTATATAGATTGCATTATTAGGAAAAATAATTAGATATGAGCATGATTGTGGATATGAAAATGTGCTATATATATGTATGATATGTCTGCGTAACAAAAAAGCAAGATGTAACATATGTTTTTATAATTGGTAGACATAAAAAAAAAAGTTAAAGGTTGATGGGGAAAGGAGAGAGCTAGTGAATAGAAGTTGAATTGTCGTGGAGATTGTTGGCTTGTGTCGGTTGGGTTGTGTTGACGTTAGTTGAAAATTTGGAAAGTTGCGGTTTATTTCATTTTGTGTTTCTTATTCGTTTATACACATATAAGCTGAACGTTAAACCAGCATTCTTAAGAGAAAAAGGACAAGCCAATAAGAATGTTATGATTTAGACATTATAATTTTGTGTGTGTGTGGTTGATATTTGATAACCAAATGAAACCAGACCATTTCTTGGCATATATCAGGCCACCACATTAAATGTCGAAGGTGTGGATTACATCAAAACATTCATTCAAGTGGCTAAAATGTGTATGGCTCGAGATAATCTTAAAGTTGTAGTTGTACTTATGAAAAAAATCAGCAATTAGATTTAAGTTAGAGACTGAGAGTACTCACTACTCAATTTATGTATAGGGACATTTTTGGCAAATTGATATTCAAAAGAGTTTCCTAGGATGAGTTTTCTTGATTGCACTAAAAAACGAGCATGCTTTGGTAGGAAGGGTAAAGTTGTTAATTAAAAAAATCATGTTTACATGTTTCTAAGAGCTAATACCAAACATGTTATAGAAAATGTGAAATACGAAACCAATGTCTCGCGCGACAAGTAAAAGAAATGACGTTCCTTGAAAATAAATCTAGTCACACCAATCATGTGATTTTGTTTTTAGATCACCAATCATATGATATGGAGACACAACCGACACATCCTTAAAATAATAAATGTGTTAGGATAAAAAAAATCTTAGGTCGATCCAACAGTATACATTTTAGGTGTGTTGCCGACAAAGAAGAAGAAGTTAACCGTAACATTAAGATAGTCGCTAAAAGAGATCAAATTGTTTGGTTACCAGTGGAACATTTGAAGTTTTTAACTATCATGTTCTCTAAAACCCATTTATTTAATCCTAATTAAGGCGACACTGAGAACCATAAAGCTCTTTCGTGAAAAGAATATACAAAAAGTGAAATAGAGTCGACTGAAAAAAAAATTACTCCACAGTCCACATGCAACTAGTTGGTCTTCTTCCTTGGGTGTAGACCAAGAGATCTAAACAAAATCTTCCAAAGAAAAATGAGATATAAGATGAGTTTATAAGATTAATTATAAATTAAATATATGTTCGACAATTGAATATATTTTCTAGAAGACATGTTCGGTTGGAAGAACTTGTGTAAACCAGAAATTTTGATTAGGAGAAAGAGATGTTGCCTCCGAAAATTAGGTCAAAGCATCTATTTTAATGTGATATGTTGATGTTTGTATGTTTCTAGATGATAGAGTGTGTCCACTGGTATATATATATATATATATATATATGGATTAATTCATGCATTGCATGCATCATCTATCAAGAACCAAATCCATCAGGATGGAACTGATCTCGCAACTCAAAAACCGATGAAAAACTCCATGACGAAAACTAAAAATGAAATAACAATTCACAATCTTATCAAGTAGAAGTCGTCTCGAATCTGTCTTAAAACACCCATAGAATTGTAGTACACGGATTTCTCCACTAGACATGTAGCCGTACCTAATCTTGATGATTTCTTGGTAATTAGCACAATTATGAAAGACATTAATTGATAAAGATTACGACATTTTAAGAGTTAGAACAATTTACAAGCTACAACTAATAATAATTCATATACTACTTGCTAAGCTTTTCAATCCATCTGGTTTCATTCATAACTTGACGATTACAAAATTTAAACACAGGCATATTAAATTTCTTAGAAAAGATAACATTTTTGCATTAAAATGATGATATCAGGACGTACGTGAATGTGAAAAAAAATTTAGAAAAGATAATACAAAAAGTATGGGTTATTATTGGTCCAAATGTGTCTTACTGTCTTAAAACACCATCACCATAAAGAAGACTTCTCTGTGTTGCTGCCGTGACTCACATCCATGTGCTTCTCTTTCCTTTTCTCACAACCCGTGACATTAACTTGCTTCACTACACGACAAAAACCTTTACACACACAAGTGTCGATAAACCAACTGACTTTTTTTTTGGGGTCATTTCCTTCGGTTATCTCAGTACCGGTTCTTTCAATTTTGGAATAACCTCCGGTTCTTGGAATTTAGCTTATCCAAACAATAAAAATCGCGTTATAGGAACGAAAATGCTTATTATGTGGTCTTAAATTCTCTGTTTAGATTCTTCTGTTCACACCTCACAAGTTGTTTAATAATCTTCCACATTGTTTGACAATTTTGAGTGTATTTTTTTTCTTTCTTCTTTTAAATTAGCTGACCAGAAAATCAATATTCGTCGAATATTTGATTGAATTGTCGATTTTTGTGTATAATTCGTACTAATGTTAGTTGAATGCTGTTTTCATATAATTCTAAAATAGTACGATTTGGTACTTTGTTTGGTTGGTTAAACCGGGGAAAAAACCGGGTTTTGTAAAACGTAAACCGAAGCGTGGTGTTGGTAAAAGGTGATTGGGTGAGAAGCCTAACATGTTGTCTCTGCTCTGCTAAGTCACTAGGTGGGCACTTACAGAAAAAACCACTTGTTTCCTTATATTCTTCCTCTTTAAAAATTTAATCTTTTCTTCTTCTTCTACTCATCTCCACAAATTCCAACACTCTCGTTCAAGAATAAATAGCCCAGAAAAGAAAAAGAAAAAAAAAACAAATTAAATTACAGAAGAAGAAGGCATGAATGGCGAAGAAAGCTTCGTTGAAGATTGCTCTGAGTTTGTTGAAATTGATCCTTCTGGAAGATATGGAAGAGTTATGATTCTTCTGAATTAAAATGTTAATAACGATTTCGTTTTTGTATGATTCTGATTTTGGTTTTGGTTTTGGTTTTGGTTTTGGTTTGGGCAGTACGATGAAATACTTGGCAAAGGTGCTTCGAAGACAGTGTAATTGCATTCATCTTCTCACTTTTGTCTTTCTTTGAACTTAAAACCTTTTCTTGTCCGAAAAACGTTCTCTTAGCAACGTCACAACTTAAATAAAAAAAAACATATTGTTTTACTTGTTTATTTAATTAATACTTTTGATTACTTAATCCAAAAACACTGTTCTTCTTTTGAGTCGTTTTGGTCAATTTTGTTTTTTTTTTTTTTTTTTTTTTCCAGTTACAGAGCTTTTGATGAGTACGAAGGGATAGAAGTGGCATGGAACCAAGTAAAGCTTCGGAATTTCACGAGGAATCCTGAGGAATTAGAGAAATTCTTCAGAGAGATTCATCTTCTTAACACACTGAATCATCAAAACATTATGAAATTCTACACTTCTTGGGTTGATACCAACAATTTGTCAATCAATTTCGTCACTGAACTCTTCACCTCCGGTACTCTCAGACAGTAAGCAAATTCTGATTTCACACTTTTTGACATTGAATTCATATTCTTTATCAAAATTTTGAAATGGGTACTTCAAAGTTCAAATCTTTTTAGGATATATGATGCTGCTTTTGTAAATTGTAGGTACAGGTTGAGACATAGAAGAGTGAATATTAAAGCAGTGAAGCAATGGTGTAAGCAGATACTAAAAGGGCTTCTCTATCTTCATAGCCGTTCTCCTCCAATTATCCACAGAGATCTCAAATGTGACAACATCTTCATCAATGGGAACCAAGGAGAAGTCAAGATCGGTGACCTTGGACTCGCTGCCATTCTTCGAAAATCACATGCCGTTCGTTGCGTTGGTACTTCACAAAAAAAACCCTCACACATTATTGGATTCAAAACTTTATAGGCTTAATAATAATGACTTGAAACACTTTGTGTCCTACCTTTATGATGTTATAAAGGGACCCCTGAGTTCATGGCTCCAGAAGTGTATGATGAGGAATACAACGAGTTGGTTGATGTATATGCTTTTGGAATGTGTGTGTTGGAGATGGTCACATTTGATTATCCTTACAGCGAATGTACACACCCTGCGCAAATCTACAAGAAAGTTACCTCGGTAAATATGATCTTGAATTCCACCATTTTCTTGCGGAATCTTGAAGCCGTTTCTTGTTTTTACAACATTCTTGATTCTTTCTCAGGGGAAAAAGCCTGAAGCTTTTTACTTGGTGAAGGACCCTGAGGTTCGTGAGTTTGTTGAGAAGTGTTTAGCTACTGTGACGTGTAGGCTCACGGCTTTGGAGCTGTTACAAGACCCTTTCTTACAAGATGATGTCGATGGGTTTGATATGAGACCCATTGATTACTACAATGGTTATGATGAAACCGGTGTGTTCCTTAGACAACCTCTGATCGATCCTCCTCCTCCTCTTTACCATGATGATGATGATCAGTTTGAGTCACAGATATGTGAAATCGATCTTTTCGCTCAAGACGATGAAGAAGATTGCGACCATGTTGATATTTCGATTAAAGGGAAGAGAAACGGTAACGATGGGATATTCTTGAGGCTCAGAATCTCTGACGCAGAAGGTAACTTGATTCAAAAGCAAAAAGTTTGAATCTTTTTCTCACAAAAACCGTTATAGCTTTCGACTTTTAGGAAAGTTTCAATCTTTTCTCTGCAAAAACCGTTAAAGCTTTCGACTTTTTATGAATTTGACAGGACGGATAAGGAACATTTACTTCCCGTTTGAAACCACAATCGACACAGCGAGGAGTGTTGCAGCTGAGATGGTCTCTGAGCTCGACATAACGAATCAAGATGTCGCGAAAATCGCAGAGATGATCGATGCGGAGATCGCTGCGTTGGTTCCTGATTGGAAAATTGATCACAGTGTCACAGAAAGCGAATCAAACGTTGTGAATGGTGATCACAATGCAGGATACTGTGCTTCGAACGGGTATATACAAGAGACCGTATCATCAAACAGCGATATCTCCGGACAAACATCTCACCTTCACCATAATCATCAGTTCGATTGTTCTGACGACAGGAGCTGTGCTTCGGTTCACGGTAGGTTCGGGGAGATAAGTTACCAAGTGGAAGGACAAGAAGAAGAACAACAACAACACGGAGGTGATGTAAAAGGGATTCATTACGCGGATATTTGGGGACTGAGAGACTCGCGTTCTGACGACGGAGAAGAACAGAGCTCGGATTTGAATCGGAGGAAGGTTAAAGGTGAATGGTGGTCGGAGAACGAGATCAGGAGAGAACTGAGATGGCTTAAGGCAAGGCATAGGATTCAGCTAACGAGAGTTAGAGATCAGACGATATGTGAGAAACCGACGGAGATATCTTTAAAGGATGGGTTTGCGGAGAGGTTTGGGATCGGAGCTGCTTCAGCTTCGCCACCTCTTCTTTATAGGGCGATCTCGCTTCCCGTCGACGCCGTGGATATATGAGAATGTAAAGTCTAATTAGTGATTATATTTGCAACATTTGTTATTAATCTTCGTCAATAACCTTCAAACTTTATAAATGCGGTTGAATCAGTCTAGTGGGTAAAAGTTTCTTTACAGTAATAGAACTGATCGATAAGGCAAAAGATGTCTTTGAACATGTCATCAAGCTGAAGAGGGAAGACAAAGGTCATTAGATATGGCCGAAGTTATGCTGAGACGCTTCAAGACCCGAGAAGTTGATTTTTTGGCAAATTCATAGTTGAGGATCATGACCTTGTCATCTTCTAAGTCTAGCCTCAAATCTTTGGTGCAACATCCCACTATGAGCTCACATAGATGCTTTAGATTCTTTACTTTTACTCCCTTCACTTTCTCCACCTGTAATATTTTTAGTAAAAACCATAGCCATGTCCTCTCAAGACACTGCAAAACGCCGAATCCAACACTAATAATGTCAAAGAAGAAGCAATAAATAGATTACCTGCAAATCTTTGAAACTTTTATACCCTTCGTTGATGTCATCTGAGTATACCTAAATTAAAGACTTGTTTGTTAAACTCAAAACATGTAGTATACATTATTAAGACACATTTGCAACCATACAAAAAATGGTACCCAAGAGATTTTGACTTGCTGTTCACCGGCTGTTTTGTAAATATCCATTAAGACACATTTGCAATGATGTCTAGGACTATATGATTTAGTGAGAGGCACAAAGACAAAACCACCGAATATGTAATAACTTGGAAGGTTATTATAATATGGTTGCACTGTGACATGTGGTTTCATCTGCGTACAATAGTCAACAGATAAACCGTAAATGTAATTCAGAAATATATGTGAATCAACATAACTTAGAAAAGAGTCGCAAATGTTTGATAACATACAACGAACTTACCGGTTTTAGAGTAATATTGTACTCGCGCTCTTTTTCTTTTCTCAAAACTTTAACTAAAACGGTTTCACCTGGTTCTTTCATAGAAACCAAATGATCTAAACTAATTATCTCCTTGTTCCCCAAAAAATCTGCATAGAAAATAAACTCACTTCAGATCTTATACATATAATACTATCATCATTGAGTAAATGAAAAAAAAAAATTATACATATAATACTATTACCTGTCCCATAATCTTGTATTGGAACACCATCAATTGCGAGAATGATGTCATTCCTTTTTAGAATTCCATGAGCCCCCCGACCACAAATTTACTTTGTTAATGAGAACTCCTGTCATGTTAGGGCCCATTTTAAAGTAATTACGGATATAAACATTTTCCATAAACTGGTATGATAGACCTAGTGAGCCGAAAACAGCATGTTGACCACTTTCTCCACCACCACCAGTCATGAAACGTTGAATGATTGGAGTTGGGATCACAAAACTGTATATAAGAAAGAAAAAAACAAGTCTTTTAGATACTTTGGTTTCACAGGCATAAATGTAAGCAACACGAGTATGTAATTTCAAAGCTATACGTACCTTGTATTCCGTGATACTGAACATAATACGCCAATGACTTTGCTTCCCATTAATACGGGGCCACCACTGTTTCCACATTTGGTAGTTGCATCTATTACTATTGTCAGCAGTCTAGTGTCACTGTGAATATATTCCCTAGTTCTAACTTCACGTACAAAACCTTTTGTAATGCAGATTTTGTCAATACCTGCATATTTTGAGCACATGTATGTTCTAATTTTAATAACCAAAACCATAAGTAAAAGTTCATAAGGGTGACACTACTGCGAGTATCTTTTTTTCTTGAATATTATGTAATATACTGAAATATATATACCGTTTGGATAACCAACAATAAACACAACCTCTTGGAGTGGCGGTATGTCTCCAAACTCCAAAGGTTCCATATCTTCCCAAAACTCATTGTTATCGATCTTCAAGATGGCCAAATCACATTCATGTGAAATCTTTTCAATTCTTGCTTCGTATTCGATTTGTGAGCCGCCGCGTTTTTTAACAGACACATGTGTGATAGCATTCATCTCAGTCACTACATGAGCGTTCGTGAAGATCTTCTTTCCCGAGATTGCAAATCCTATTAACAAAACTATTATATAATCAAGTAATATATAACACTCCAAAACATTCCCATACCAGACGTAAACAAGTCTCACATACCGGAGCCAATGTAAGCCATTCCCATACCAGACGTAAGCCAAGGTCGAGATTTGTTATACACTGTACAGTTACAAAAGACCTCCACCACCGAGTTAAGCAACGATTCATCAGGGGAAGAAGAACTTTTCTCTGTTTCCAGCTGTTTCTCATCCCCTTGCATTGTATTTGTTTGGATCTTTCTTCTGGTCATAGTCGCTGCTGCTTCTGTGCTCACGAATTGATCTTTCTTTTTCCGCGATTTTAAAACGGACATGGAAGAAAAGGCATAAGAGCCGTTCAAAACTCGGCCGACCATTGTTGCCGTTGGCAGTGGCTTGTCCCGGACATTATTGGAACGTGGAAGAAGAAAGAAAACAGAAGAGATGAAACCAGGACGAACCCGAGCTCTCGAGGATCGGCACACCGTACCAAGACACGACCGGAAAATCATATGGAGCTTGGAACAAAGTTTTGTGCTGCTACTAAACGATGGAAAAAACGTTTTTTATTACAAAAACGGCAAAACCTAGTTACTATAAAAAATACATTGAAGAAAAGGAAAATGAAACCGAGATTGTAGATTGGCTCAAGGGGAATCGAACCGGCGTCGTTTCGCGTACTTAATAAAATTGTACAAAGTGGTGGGGTCTGTCTTCTTCCTTTCCTCTTCCTTGTGCTGCCAACATCAACAGCAAATGGAGATGTCTTCTGCGTCCGCCATGTTTGGTCAATGTCAATCCTCCGCTCAGCTTGTGAGACCCAACCTCGGGTTTAAGGTTTTGATTCATCGGCGAGCGTCGATCGTTTCCTCTTCGCTTCCCCGATTTCTGCGGATGGAATCTCAATCTCACACTCGTAAATTTGTCTCCTGCGCTTCTTCTTCTCCCAGCGCGAATTCTTCTTCTTCTTCCTATATCGAATCTGGTCAGTTTTGGAGACTAGAAATGGCTCATTTCTTCATTGATTCTCCTGATGGTCAAGCTTTGTTTTTTCTCTCACTCAAAAATCGTCTCTTTTTTGTTTGTGAGTGATGATGCGATCAGATCGAATTGGAGAAGTGAAGAGAGTAACAAAGGAGACGAATGTGTCAGTGAAGATAAATTTGGATGGCAATGGAGTTGCTGATAGCTCTACTGGAATTCCTTTCCTTGACCATATGTTAGATGTAAGTGTTTTTTGCCTTCTCCTTTCAATTTTATTAGGGTTTTGATTAATCTGTTCAGTTTTTAGCCTTTTTTATGATTGGAAGAGAGCTTAGCACGGCCCGGTTTAGTGAAAGGGTCTTGTTTGATTCATTAGTAGAATGTTGTTGACTAATGTTTGTGTGGGTTTTGTCTTTCTTTGGTTAGCAACTTGCTTCACATGGCTTGTTTGATGTTCACGTTAGAGCCACTGGTGATGTTCACATCGATGATCATCACACTAATGAAGATATAGCTCTTGCCATTGGAACAGTAAGTCTGTCTTACTGTCTCTCGCTTTAGCGATCTTCTTTTCCCTGTTTTGTCCTAAGGATGTTATGTTTTGTAATGAAATATCTGGGTTGGTGTTTCTTCTCTAGGCTCTGTTAAAGGCCCTTGGTGAGCGTAAAGGGATTAACCGGTTTGGTGACTTCACAGCTCCTCTAGATGAAGCGCTTATACATGTTTCCCTGGTATTATAAACTTGTGTGAAAACTTTTGATTTATCTCTCATTACTGCTTATAATGAACAAAGTAACCCAATTTTTGTATGCAGGACTTGTCTGGTAGACCATATCTTGGTTACAACTTGGAGATTCCAACACAGAGAGTTGGAAATTATGACACTCAGGTTCTTCATTTGTTTTGTGGATATTCATTCGTTTTTTGGTAATCATCGTGTTAAAAACATTTTCCATTTTTTTGTAGTTGGTGGAGCATTTTTTCCAGTCATTGGTGAATACTTCCGGTATGACACTTCACATTCGGCAGGTACTGTGATTCTCAATCTTCCACACAAATAATAAGAAACTCTCTGCAATAATCTGCTTGGCAACATTTTCTTGATTTGATTTTGATAATCGTTTTGTTTACAACAGCTTGCTGGTGAAAACTCTCATCATATAATAGAGGCGACCTTTAAGGCATTTGCTAGGGCTTTACGACAAGCGACGGAGAATGATCCTCGCCGTGGAGGCACGATACCAAGGTTTAGACTTAAAAAGCATAACCCACTTTGTGGATCCTGGGAGATTATTGTTGGATGTGAAAGAATGTATATTATTAGAAGTGTGATTGTTTTGCGGATTTTTTTGCAGTTCTAAAGGAGTCTTGTCACGGTCCTGAGAGCTGAAGCAGTAGCAAGAAAACTCCAAGATTCACTCTTTCACGAGTTGCTAAATGTCTTGTTCGATATTTGAACTCTGTTCGTTTGCAGAAGCGCGAAGAACAAAAAAGTGAATAGGGTGATGATGATCAACAACACACTTCGGGTAGACGATGGATTGATCTTTATAATTAATCTGTCGATGAAGAGTGTTTTTGTATTTCTGCATTTGAATATCTCTTTGCCATTGATATGTATCAAACTCGGAAACTTAACTGCTACAAAAGTCAATGTTCTGTTTCTGTTAAACGACAGCGTTTTAGGCTATAAACGATGCCGTTTCGTGATTTTCCGATGGATATTTCCCGTCTTCCTCGCGCTTCAATGATCAAAAATCTAGCAATCGAATTTTTCTTAGCTTTACGATTCTTCTTCCATATAGAAGATCAGATTTCATCGCAAGCTTATTGCTGATTACGAAGATCGAAACCAATTCACGGCCGTTAAGGATGGTCGGTGGCAACAACGCCAAGTCATCAACGAGCAAGCCTCCGGCGTCCTCCGCTCCCATTGCTGCTGCGGCTGCTTCTTCTTCTTCCCATGATCGTAAACCTCGTTGGGCTTCGAGCAACAATGGAGGTGGAAGCAGTAAGAACAACAGCAACAATAACAATAGCAAGCCGACGACGACGAGTGGACAGAAATTCGCCGATAAGAAACTGCCGAGGCCGAATCCGAATCCAAATCCTTCTCCTAAGCTAGCTCCGATACCGAACCAATCCCATCCGAATCATCCCAATCGACCACCCCAATCTTCACGTCCCGTTCCTGGCTCTACTCATCCCTCGGCACAATTCGCTTTCCCAGATTCGTCCGCGGCGGCGCTCGGTGCTCCTCCTGCGCCGACTTATGGGTTCCATATGCTGGAGCGGCGTACCATCGCTCTCATCGACGGAAGTGTCCGGTCCTACTTCGCGCTTCCGCCTAATTACCGTGATTTTCCTCCGCAAAGCAGGCTCCCTGATCCGGCCGCTAATAGATTCATGGGACCGGAATTTGGCAGATTCGCTCCTTTTCATCCGGAGGAGTTCCGAGATCAGCGGCAGCTCTGGGATCGGCCGGAGGGATCGATGAAACGGAAACATCCAGGTGAAGAAGAGATTGATAGGAGGGACGAGAGAGGTGAAATGCTGAGAGTAAGACACCAGTTTATGCAGTATGCGAATCCTAATGATCAATCGCTCATGGCTGGCACGAGTAGTCCTTTCCAGAGGGATGTTGGAGAAGACGCGAGAGCAGCTAAGCATATGCGTGTAGGATCAAGTAGGCATGATAATGGTGGTCAGGGGATTAGGCATGATAATGGTGGTCAGGGGATTAAACATCTCCAGGTTGACCAGGTTGCGCTAAAGAAGTCGTTTTTGGATTTTGTGAAGCGGGTATACGAGGACCCGTTGGAGAAGAAGAACTATTTGGAGAACGGAAGGAAAGGGCCGCTTCAGTGTCTCGTCTGCGGCAGGTTCGATGGGTTTCAATCTGCTTCTTGTGTTTGTTTTTTGCTGAGGTTCATTTTACTTGTGCTGGAGACTCTTATTGCCTTGTTCTTGATGGTTGCTTTGATTAGTCAATTGTGTCTTAGATGGGTTAATGAACATGAAGAAAGTAAGAGAGAACACTAAAATACCTTTGTTACTTCTGTTTGATACTTTTGTTACTTCTGTTCGATTAGCATGTTTAACTTGTTCACAATATTGCACTATCTTTACATGCTTTAGTGGTTGTGATGTTAGCAAAATGTGTACTGTTCCTGATTAGCTTGACCATTTATCTTGTTCGTTGTTTACGATGCATTTAACAATACGATGATTTAGGTTCAACTAAGTTCTCGTCTCCTTTGTACCTTTTGCTTGACTGCTCTTTTTGCTGGCTTTAAAGCAGAAAATGGTTGCGGGTTTTCTTACGCCTGTTGGCTTTAGGCTTAAATTCTATTTTGATCCAGTTGATTATACCATTATACACTGGATTCTTTTTCTGGAACTAATGTTGCATCTCGTTTGTTTTAACCTCTGATCCACATCATATTCATTGGTTTTGGATATCTATCGACTCAAGTTATTAATCCTTGCTTCTTGCAGGCTTATATTTTATACTTAGTTCAGTATAATGGTAGTTTTCTTGCTGCTGTTTTAAATTAGGGTGCTTATATGTCTATGGTTATTTGTTTTGATGATCACGCGCCTTACTGTTTATTCTTCTCAGGATTACTTCTATTTTGAATTGATTATCAAATATATAATTGCTTTTAGGTTTTCGTAACCATGATACAGTTCTTTCTTATTAGTGGGAGTGACCCTTAATTCAATGTTCTATGATCAGTAGTAAGCCAACTTGGAATCGGAGTTGGGCACTTTTCGATTGCGTTTTAATTTTCTTGCTCACGGTCACCTCACAAAGTCTTTGCACCATGTATCTGGTATTTAGTCTCAGTGCTCGTGCTTGTGATTCGTGGAACTTTCTCTATGAATCCAGCATTTTAATTGACGGACTTCATATTCTTAATTCCTTAGGTGATGTAGATACTGCAAGTCTCAACTTTTATTTGTGATTGTACACACTTCCATCTAAATTTGTCTTGTTTGATAACTAGATGGAGGTTGTCATTTAGTTTGGCATAATGAATGAATTGTTGCTTAGATGGCCATTTCAATCAATGTCAATGATGCTAGATTAGTAGACTATAGTAGCAACTTATCTATTTTGAATGCTGTTTTTTTTCATTCTTTTGATCTAAAAGCTTACGGTAGAGTTCTCTGAATCCTTTATTATTATCTTTAACGTTCTTTAACCCTTCTGCTATGTTATGATGGTAGTCCACATAATTGCGCAGAGGTTTTATGTGTTGTTTCTGTATGTTATATGTTTTTCTAGCATCACCTATAACCCTGGTCTGTAGCTTAATTTTATCACTGGCTCCTGCGTATACGTTTGAATTCCTGTTCGTCAAATACGCTAGTTGTGGATTTTGCTTAGCACACTTAATCATTTAAGTTTATATCACTAGTTTTACCGTTCTACATTGAACGGTATTAACTGCTGTATGCAGAATTTGCGTGGTAAATCTGAATGAGTGTTTTCAATTCGACTTATGCTAAAACACAGGTCTCCTAAAGACGTCCATGATACACATGGTTTGGTGATGCACACATACTGTTGTGATGATGTCAGCACACGTGTGCATCACTTAGGCCTACACAAAGCTCTCTGTGTATTGATGGGATGGAATTTCTCAAAGGCTCCTGATAATTCAAAGGCATACCAGAATCTACCTGCTGAAGTGGCTGCAATCAACCGAGACCAGCTGATTATTTGGCCACCTCATGTTATTGTTCACAATACCAGTACAGGGAAGGGCAAAGATGGGCGCATGGAAGGTCTTGGAAGCAAAAGAATGGATAACCGAATCAGAGGTATAACATGCGGCCTTTCACTCCTTATTCTTGCGTTTACATACCGGAGCAGCACCATCTGGCAAAGTTCATGAACCTTGCCTTGGGATTCTCTTCGTTTTTTTTTTCCCCTTCATTTGACGTAAAGTAGATTATTTCCATCAATTGGACTTAGAACCAGAGCCTTAGAGATGACTGCCGGTAGTCTTAATGATGTGGCATCTCATCTCTTTGTATCCCAACTCTGTGCCACAATAATCACTTCCTTGATCTTTCAGAAGAAAGTTCAAGGTCCAAATCCCTCTCTTTGTTTTGCTAACAGCCTAACACTAGGTGTTCTTAAGTAAGAGTCTTGCACCTAACAATATTTTGATTATCATCTGACATTCCTTCTCAGGCACATCCTTCAGTTTCCTTAGATCCCTGCCCCCATTGTCTCTCCTATGTTTCTTTGTGGTTTTGTGAATTGGAAGGTGTTATTGCTTTCCTTAGAATAATGTCCAATATCAGAATCTAGTAAATAGTGGCCTAGGAAGTATATAAGGTTCTGTTATGTCACCATTTTCGCTGGTTATTTTTATAGGAATCTCAGCTTCTAGTTTCAGAACTTCTGGTGTTTCACAGTAGGTTCCAGAATGTGCAATGTGATTAGGGCCAATGATTGGTGTGCACATACTAGTATCTAGTTATTGGCCTAATCGATGACACATATTTTGCGTGCCTTCGTTTTGATGTCTATCTATATTTACAGAACTAAACCTCACCGGTGGGAAATCAAAGTCACTGTATGGAAGAGACGGTCATTTAGGAATCACCCTCTTGAAATTTGCGGGAGACGATTCAGGGCTCGGGCAAGCTATGAGAATGGCGGAATACTTTGAGAAGACTAACCATGGGCGTAAGAGTTGGGCCGGGTTACCACCATTCACTCCAAGCAAAGACGATGAGAAAAACCATAGTCTTGTCGAGGTTGATGCTAGGACTGGTGAGAAAAGGAGGGTCCTTTATGGTTATCTCGCGACCATAGCAGACTTGGATAAAGTCGATTTAGAAACGAAGAAGAAGACCACAATCGAGAGCCTTAGAGAACTCACAGGATCAAAGTAAATTATATAGTTCTCAACCCAAAAAGGTACACTTTTACTTGCGAGGTATTAATTGCCTATTGAAATCTGGATTCTTAGTCATAAATTCGAAAAACTCGAAAGGAGAAAGCAAAGTTTGTTCTTGTTTTTTAGATGGATAAATTTTTTTGGTTATCTTGATCACATTGCATATAGACTTTATAGTATACGAGCTTCTGTTTCTACATCCTCCTTGGAAGTATATTGTGATATAGTGTGCGTGATGCTTTTGAATGATACCCTTTGTTGATTCTTTAATTTGGTTTCTTCTTTCCCTTTTGGTTATGTCTTCTTGTTTCTTTAAGCTTTAGCCAGCTAATAAAAAAGTAACTGGTTCTTATCTTTTGCTCACTCACATGTGACATGCCCTAAAGAATATTCTTAGTCCTATGGTTGCTTACGTTATGTCTGTTTAGATATCAAATGTGAATATTGAACTAAACAATAGTGTCTTAGTGCATTTGTCTATGACATCGAGTTAGATTGGTGATATTTTTTGATACCTTAGATTGGTGACAACAATTGTGTTACTAACTAGCAATAAATAACTTGGTATATTAATATATATAAATTGAGATGAACAAAAATATCAGATTGTGGGGGCTCTTGGCAACCACTATAATTTTGTTTCTATGTTATATCTATTTATTTTACTCTGTTTAATTGACAAGTAGGTATAAAGGGTCTGATGATTTTTACTCAACTTTTGTGTGTTTATTTCATCTACTCCGTCGAATCATAGTGCCCTCTGACCAAACTTTAACTGATCTTTGGTTCTCTCTGCCTAACCTAACATTTTGGTGAAAGAGTTTTAGACCGTGTAACAAAGATAAACCTTAACACTTACTAAGAAAGTCGGGTTCTTTAATCAGACACAACTCAGTTCTTGATTACACCAGTGCACGTAATTAGAAAGACATCTCCAAGACTCTTTAAACATCTACCAGTTCAGTTGTTTGATTTGTGCCTTTTGTATGAGATGTGAGTGTATTAAGTTTAAACCTGTTGTATAATTATGCGTAGTAGAAAATTTCTTTGAGTGATGTACATGTCTTTTCGTAATTGATGACAACAGACAGATCGATTTGTATATTCATTATTATCGGAATTCGTATAAATTATTGATGGATGTTAAATTCTCACCATTTATTTGATTTAATTTTAAGGTTGCGGATGATAAATGTTACAACATGCTTAGGATCATAGTGTGGCCACCATCATAACAATTAGGATTCATTTTATAAAATGTACGATATATAGGACAAAGTACTTTTGTTTAGTTGATAGAGTTGAATGCATATAATAAACATACTAGAACATATTAAAAAGACTCTAAGATTGTGCAATGTCTTAATCATCTTACTATAAGACTAGCTAGAATAATGTCAAATCAGTTTTAAATCATTATCCCTTTTGAATTCGATTTCTCCCTTGGACATTTTCAAAAATTTCTCCTTACTTCTTATGTAAAGCGTAAACAGTAAACGGCTGTTAATTTCTAGCCGTCCATTGCGGACCCGTTTAATTACATAGTTGTTAGTCGTCAATTCCATATTTCGTCTCATTCTAATTGTGTTTTGTCTCTGCAATTACTTTTGGAATCAAAATGTTAATATATTACCAAGAGGACGAAAAGAGTAAGGATGTTTCAATAATGGGTTTAAATGTCATTGTCCCGTTTTACATTTTGTACATATCTACAGAAAAAAGGTTTGTAGGATATGTCAATTCTAATGATGGAAAAAAACGAAGTAGCTTTAATAATTCAAATTCAAAATTTCTTTTTATCTCATGCTCTGTTTAGTATTATCAAAAGATATTAAAACATAGTACGAAGATTAGCAAAACAGATAAAATATTAGTGTAAATATGTAATGAGTCTCTTTGTGGGTTGCTTAATATTCACGTTTTAGAACAAACAAATATTCGGTCCAAAAATGTCACGCGTGACTGATTCATTACAGCCTTATAAAGAGATCTTCTTCATACATACACATGTGTTTGCTTACATTATATATATACTATGGAAGAATTCATTATAACATCATTTTTTTTTTCTTCTTTACTTTATAATTTATCAATATTACATTTTATATTTTTAACCGGCAAATGCTTCACTGGTTTCCGACTCAACGCATGTGGTGGTCAGTGGGCCTGGCCCACTTATCTCTTTCACCTTTATTTTTTTTCTTTCTTTAAGCGATCTAACTTCGGTATACGATAAAGCGAAGCTTAGTATACTTATTACCACCTTCCCAAACACGCCCTTATCCCACGTCACCACCCGACACTGTTATCCTACGCATCTTCCGTTCACAATAGCACGCACAGTGTAGATAGCCTGCGCATCACTGGCGCAATCTAGATGGGGCTCTCATTATCGCGCCTTTAATCAGACTCCACCGAGACGTGTCGCACTTGTGACTTGTCCACGTCACTGTTCTTGTCTCTTATCTTCCTCCCCAACTTTTTGCCATTTCTAGGTTTTCTGCAATTTCACCCCAAACACTTTTCGTTACCTTCTCTCTATTGTTTTGAGATTGTTCTTTTCTCTATCGCTGTATCGAAATCGATCGAGTTTGAGTTCGTTAGCTTCCATTTTACGCCGACGATGGGGTCGGTCCCCGATCCAGGCGAGTTGACCGAGTTAGCTCAGCCGAGTTTCGAGGAGTTTCAGAGGCAGACGTCGTTGATGACGAGCTGCACTCTTCTGTGGAAAGAGCTCTCCGATCACTTCACTTCGCTGGAGCAGAACCTGATGAAGAAATCGGAGGCACTGAAGCAGATGATTGAAACCCTAGATAACCAGACTCAGACCTCGCTCGAGTCACTCAAGCGTAGAGAGGTCACAATCGACCACAGCGTCGAGATCGTCGCCGGAAAAGTTGGGGAACGCGCCAGAGCTGCTCTGGAATCGCTTGAGAAAGCCAGAGACGGCGGTTCTAATGGAGATGACTCCGGCGAGGTCGACGATGACGAAGGGCTTCTCTCTGCACTGAAATCTCTCTGTTTGAAGATGGACGCTAGAGGGTTCTGGAACTTCGTGACGGCGAGGAAAAAGGAACTGGAGAACCTCCGGTCACAGATTCCGGCTGCGCTTGTGGATTGTGTGGATCCGGCGATGTTAGTGCTCGATGCGATATCCGAGGTTTTTCCGGTCGACAAAAGAACCTCCGGAGAGAAAGTGACCAACGATTTCGGATGGGCTTGTGTGGTGATTCTGGAGAGTTTAGCGCCTGTAATGGTCGATCCAGTGATCGGGAAAACGCGGCTGCTTGTTACTCCGAGCGTCAAGGAGAAGGCTAAAGAGATCGCAGAGACTTGGAAGGCGAGCTTGGAGGAGAGAGGAAGGATAGAGAACGTGAAGACTCCTGATGTTCACACGTTTCTGCAGCATCTTGTGACATTTGGAATCGTCAGAAGAGACGATCTTGCTCTGTACCGGAAGCTTGTCGTTGGATCCGCGTGGCGCAAACAGATGCCAAAGCTCGCTGTTTCAGTTGGTTTGGGTGATCAAATGCCTGGTAAGCCAAGCTCTTATCTTCTCTGTTTCACTCTTTTTATGTCTTTGGAAAAGTTTAGATTAATTGTATCGGACATTGCTACTTTCCCCATTGAAATTGGCTTGAACTGATAAAGAATCGCTTATCCCATTTGAATATGTTGATGATACTTTGTCTTGCTTTAGAAGAAGCCTTTTCGGGTTCAGCTGAATTCTACCTGTGAATAGATTGATGGGTCTTGGTCAACAACTTAACATTAATCCGTGGCAATATTAGAACTGATCATAGGCTGCGTAAAGTTCAAGTCTTTCTCTATATCTCGTTCATGTATCTGAAATAGAGAATGATGGTTTGAGTTCGTTATGTGCTTCCACAGACATGATTGAAGAGTTAATCAGAAGGGGACAACAGCTAGACGCTGTTCATTTCACATACGAAGTTGGCCTTGTGGATAAGTTCCCTCCTGTTCCTCTGCTCAAAGCCTATCTAAGAGACGCAAAGAAGACAGCAGCTTCTATCATGGAAGACTCCAGCAACGCTGGCCGAGCTACGGTATCTACTTAACTCATGTTATTTGCAAGTTGAAATTTTTATATTTTTGTGCGTCTAAGTAACACGCGTTTTCTTGTTTTCTTCCTTAGCATCTCGTGGCGCGCAAGGAGCAATCAGCTCTTAGAGCGGTGTTGAAATGCATAGAAGAGTACAAACTCGAGGAAGACTTCCCTCCAGAGAATCTCAAGAAGCGGTTGGATCAGCTCGAGAAGACCAAAACCGAGAAGAGAAAACCGGCGGCTGTACCGGCAAACAAGAGAACCAGAGCGAGCTACAACGGTCCAATGCCGCCAGCGAAAGCCGGTCGTATCACAAACGCATACGTCTCTTCCTTCCCGTTCATCAGATCTCCGTCTCACTCTCCTCAGTACGCTTCGCCAGCGGCTTACCCTTCCCCACCTACAACTGTCTACAGCAACAGGAGCCCGCCTTATCCTTACTCCCCCGAGCTCATCCCCGGTTCGTACCAAGGCTCTCCTATCGGTTACCCAGCGTACAACGGTTATTGCAACGGTCCTGTTCCGGTTCCTGCTCCGGCTCCTCCGGTTTACCACCCGCATTACCATCAGCAGCACCACCAACACACTCACCACCAGCAAGCTTACTACTGAATTAGAAGACAGTGTGACAATCAAAGAAGGAAGATGGTAACCAACAAAACCCACTGATCTCTCTCTCTCTGCATCTTGTATCTCTACGTCGTCGTTTTGTCTGTAATATTTTCGCAGCCTAACTCGCGCTATTCCCTTTGTTTGTGTGTGTTTATTAGTTTACATATAAAAAAAAAAAAAAAACTCTCTTTTTTTTCTCCGTCTCTGCTTCGTTTGTAATGTCTCTAATATTCAGTCTTTCTGTTAATCAAAATGACAACTTCTCTTTGTCACAAAATCATCATTCTTCCTTCTTGTCTCTCACTCTTATTTTCTTCACATAAATCTAAAACAAAGCTCACGAAGGAACCTCACCAGTTCTGTTTCGGAAAGATCGTTGCTTTAAAATCCGACCAATCAAGTGCGCGTCTCTTTACTAATAGTGCACACCACTTGTTCGACGATTTGTCTCATAGAAGCCTTACGGTTTCAGAATTCGTCTCTTTTCCTTCAATGGCTTTGACGGTTCTCAGAAGAAGCTCTCTCCGTTTTCCGAATCTCACCTCCCGTTTTGGATTGGCATCACACTGTTTTTCCTCGAGATCTTCCAGCAGCGAAACTGGAAAGGACTCAACCGCTGAGAACGATGTTGGTTCGAGTGGTTTTGGTATAGAAACTGTGGATGATGATGCTTGGAGTGTCTCATCATCAATATCACAAGCCTGGAGAGAGTTTCAAGCAGAGACTTCGAAAAACTCTTCCTTTACGAAGCAAGTCGGAGAAACAATCGATCCTGTTCTTGATCATGACGAAATCGACAACATGAGAATCCGCGGCGATCTTTTCTACAAGCTTGATCGAGGCTCAAAAGAATTCGAGGAATACAATTACGATTTCCACCGCAAGAACCAACATCACCAGAAAACAAACAAAGAAGAGACAAAGACGAAGAAGGAAACAACAGCAAAGAGTGATGATGATAATAAACAAGTTCGTGAGGAATACAAGAAGAGAGAAGATGAGCCAAAGATGAACGCTTTCACGGGTGAAATGGATGATCTTTATGATGCAGCTGCTGCGGGGAAGAAGAGAGAGAGGACGCTCACGTTTAACCAGCTCACGGCTCCTTATCATCACCCGTTTTGCTTAGACATTTACATCTCAAAGGCGTCGGTTCGAGCATGTGTGGTTCACAGGGTGACAAGTAAGGTTGTCTGTGTGGCTCATTCAATTTCGAAAGACATGAAATTCGACCTTGGGTCGACCAGAAACGCTGCGGCTTGCGCTGCGGTTGGGACAGTGCTTGCGCAAAGAACATTGGAGGATGATATACACGACGTTGTATATACTCCTAGGAAAGGAGATAAAGTGGAAGGTAAGCTTCAGGTTGTGCTTCAAGCTATCATTGATAATGGTGTTAATGTTAAAGTGAAGCTTAAGCAGAGGAAACTCAAGAAGAAGAGTACTAGTCATCTAACAATGGCCTAGACCTAGGGGTAAGATCTTTGCTGATTTTTTTTTTTTTTAATATCTTCTTTATGCTATTTTTCTCAAGGCAGAAGCATGTTGTGTTATTTATTTTGATCATTAATTTTTTTTTTTGTCAGACGTCAAATTTAGTTTTCAAAGAAACACGAGAACCTAAATTTTTGCAGGTTGATAAACCAAATGAAAACCGAACTATACTGAACCAAACACAAACCAAATTAAACTAGCTTCGTTTGATGTTTCATTGGTTGATTTCCATTAAATTTGGCATCGATGATTTCTAACATTGCTTAAACTCTGAAAATTGATTTAACTATGGGGTGACATTTGAAATCTGAGATGCTTAAATTATGGGTTAGATAATCAATTAAAAAAGGAGAAAGGAAAGAGTAAGAAACAAGGAATCCACATAGGAAAAGGAAAGACTACATGAAGGGGGAAATCGTTACTTGAGGGGCAAACTTGAAAACAATAATAATAATAAAACCCCTAATTAATTTCTACTTAGGCCCCTTAATTAGGAGCCCCCATGGAGTCGCTTTCTGCTTCCTCAGTTCACGAAAGAGAGAAACGAATGATGATGTCCATCTTCCGTTGGAACTGGAAGAGGAAATACTCTCTAGGGTTCCGGCTACACCTCTGCAGAGACGATTACGATCTACTTGCGACAGATGGAACACATTACTTAAAGACCAAAGATTCAGGGATAAGCACTTACGTGGAGCTCCAAAGCAGCCTCATGTTTTCATGTTGAAGGAGTTTAGGCTTTTTCCAATGACTGTTGATCTCAACGTTGTCCTCCATCCATAGAGTTTAAAGACGCACTTAGCCTAAAGGAACCCCATCCTAATAACTCAGAACAAGTGGATATAGCTCAAGTTTTTCACTGCGACGGTTTGTTGTTATGTATCACAGAGGATAATAGACCTGTGGTGTGGAATCCGTGTTTAGGTGAAACCAGGTGGATCCAACGCAAGTATGGTTACGGTGGATGCTGTGTGTTTGCTCTTGGATACGAAAGCAACCAATCTTGTCGCATCTACAAAGTCTTGATGGTTCGGGAATGGGAATCAGAGTGGTTTGAGATGTATGAGTTAAGCTGTGATTCATGGAGAGTTGTTAATACTCCCAACTTCGTCAGAACAAGATATCGCGGCGTGACTTTGAAGGGAAACACTTACTGGATTTCTGTTGATGAAGACAAACACGACTGCTTACTCTGTTTTGATTTTACAAGCGAGAGATTTAGACGTTTGTGTCTTCCCCCATCTCGTTATTACATGGCTCTATCAGTTGTTCGAGATGAACAACTCTCAGTGTTATGTTATAAGAAGGAAGGTGATTTACCAGAGCTGGAGATGTGGGTGACCAAGAACATTGATACTGAAGCAGAGTTTTCATGGAGCAAATCCTTTGCAATGGGCTTAAACAGTACTCGCGTTAATGATCCTAATCCTTTCACGAGTCTTTTGATCGACGAGGAGAAGACAGTGGTCTTGTGTTGTGATTTATATTATGGACACATCAGAAACAAAGTGGTATACACTATTGGAGAGAAGGATGCATACTACACAAAAACCCCTTTAAAATCACCATATTGGCTATGTTTTATCCATCGTATTAATGATGCACCGTGGGTGCCATTCCTTTTCAATTATGTTCCAAGTTTGGTTCATATCCAATCAAAATTAGCGAGTGTGGTTTCTTGCAGCTCTTCTTAATTTTTTCTTCTCCTTTGTTCTGCTTAGACATTTACATTTCCTGATTTTTTGTTCTCCTTTGTTTTGCTTAGACATTTACATCTCAAAGGCCTAGGTTCGAGCAAGCATGTCTTATTTACAAGGTGATTAGTAAGGGTTCTTTGCGCAAATTTGTTCTGGTTTCTTGATACCCAAGTGATCATCGTCGCTTCCTCGAATTTGTTCTTCAAAAACCGAATTTCTCGAATCTAATAATGAAACAGAAAATTTAATCTTCTCACCAACAACAAGATCACGCACACAGACTTATTACCACCTTCAAATATCACTGATCTATAGCCTCTACTACTCCATAAATGTTGCATAGACATTAATTAGTAACGCCTGCAATGGACAGTCGTATAGTTGCATTTAACGTACAAAACCATTATGTGTGTTTTTCCGGGGAAGAAGAAGATGACCATACCTCAGCATCTTGAAGAGCCATTCGCAGCTCATGATTCTACCTAGTAGTTGCGTTTGTTGTTTTTGATAAGCTATATATGTATACATACTTCATTCCTTTTAAATTAAAGTAAAAAGGAAAAAAAAAACTGAAGTAAAATTAATAAACAAAGAATCCACAAAGGAAAAGGAAAGAGTACATTAAGGAGAAATATATAAAAGAGTGCAAACATGAAAACCTCAAAAATCCAATGGTTCAGTGAAGACTTGGTAGATAAGAAAGAAAAAGAAAAAAAAAAAAAATCAAAACCCTAATTTCTACTAGAGGAGACCCATCGAGTCCCCTTCTTCATCCTTGAGGGAGACCAGATCACAAAAGAGAGAAGCCAATGGTGAGGCCGATTATTCCATCGGAATTGGTAGAGGAAATACTTTCTAGGGCTCCGGCCGCATCTGCGAGACGATTACGATATACTTGCAAGCGGTGGAACTCTTTATTCAAAGAGCCAGGGTTCAGGGAGAGGCACTTTCGCCTAGCTCCAAAGCAGCCTCGTGTTTTCATGTTGAAGGAGTTTAGGATTTTTCCAGTGAGCGTCGATCTCAACGTCGTTCCGCCATCTCTAAAGTTTGAAGATGCACTTACCCTAAAGGATCCTGATTCCAATAAGGATGAACAAGTGGGTATAGCCAGAGTTTTTCCGCCGTCTCTAATGTTTAAAGATGAACTCACCCTTAAGGTTCCTGCTTGTAATAAGGATGAACAAGTGGGTATAGCTGAAGTTTTTCACTGCGACGGTTTGTTGTTATGCGTCACCAAGGACGATAGACTCTTCGTTTGGAACCCGTGTTCAGGGGAAACCAGGTGGATCCCACGCAAGACTGGTTACAAGGATCAGTTTGCTTTTGGATACGAGAAGAAGCAATCTTGCCGCAGCTACAAAATCTTGAGGTTTACGAGAAGTGGGGTACTTGAAATCTATGAGTTAAGCTCTAATTTATGGAGAGTTGTTAATGCTCCCAACTACAACACAACAGCATATTGTGGCGTGACTTTGAAAGGAAATACTTACTGGATTTCTGTTGATGAAGACGAAGACGACTACTTAATCTGTTTTGATTTTACAAGCGAGAGGTTTAGACGTTTGCCTCTTCCACCATCTCTGAATCGTCGTTGTTACATGGCTCTATCGGTTGTTAGAGAAGAACAGCTCTCAGTGTTGAGTTATAACAATACTGGTTTAGCAGAGGTGGAGATGTGGGTGACCAAGAACATTGATGCTGAAGCTGAGTTGTCATATTGGAGCAAATCCTTTTCCGTGAGCTTAAACAGTCTTCGCCGTAATGGTCTTAATGTTTTCACGAGTCTTTTGATCGACGAGGAGAAGAAAGTGGCCTTGTGCTGTAGTTCATGTTGTGGTATGAGAAGGAAAGTTGTATACACTATTGGAGAGGACGATGATGAATACTACACAGAAATCCGTTATAAAAAAGACCCACTTTCAGATTTTTTGTGGCCATTTATTTTCACTTATGTTCCAAGTTTGGTTCAAATCCAATAAAAATAAACAAGAAAGTGAGATCTTGCAGCTCTTTGTAATCTTTTCTTCCTTCTTGTTGTTTTTCTCAAGACAATGTCGTCTGAATTATTTTAATGAATATTTTTTTGGGGGTACATCATAAATCACCTCTTACCTTATGCTTCTTTTCTTTTAGTTTTGGTTTGAGCTTATTTATTAAGTGACAAACTTTATAATCACGTCAATGGTTTTGCATTCTATCGTCTAACCATTGACGAACTACAATAACTAGATTGTTACGGCTCAATAAAAACTATTATAACAAATTTTCCTTATTTTTTAAATGATAATAATTTTGTGGCTAAACTTGCTCTTATGCAAGAAGTATGTATAATCAGTGTGTACTGTGTATGTAAGCATTCAAAATCATCCAACAAAAGCATTACTCTTTCTCTAGAGAAGATCTTCTCTCCGTACGATCATTTAATTTTGTTCATGATGTCTTGCTTGTGGGAAAAGAAATCTCAGTTACAAATATTTTTCATTGGTTAGGTGAAAACGTATAAATTATATAAAAATAAAAACCCATGATGATGTGAACGGTGAACCTAAGAAACTTTGATTATCAAGTGACCAACTTTTGATTTGATGAAAATGAATCAGACTGAGGCTACTAAAAGGCTACAAGCTGGTTGTTATTACAATGCCAACAGATCAATGAGTTTAGAGAGAATGATACTTTTCTTAATTAGCTTTTGGAGCTGAGTTGGTTCTTACAAACTTAGCAGAAATCTGATGCTCTGTCATAATATTGTGGATTTTTCAATGTTTTATTGTAGATATAATATCCACTACGAGACTACAAATTTGAGTTCGAAATCAACTACTTCGACATAACATTGTTGATTAACAAATGTTACAAAATTTGACATGTACTTTTGAACTCTGGTGAGATAACTTTGTTCAGGGTTTAAATCCCTTTTGAGACAAAAGTGTATTTTTTAAATTGAAATATTAAAAAAACAATTCTGGATATTGGGGAAAATTATGGACCGAAAACTCAGAACTTCAACTATTTATACAACAAAAAAAAATTGTTTCTTTTGTTTATATATAAGACACAACTGGTGACAAAACTTAAAACCCTAATATCTACTTTAGAAAGGCCCACCCTCATCGAGCCATCTTTTCTTCTTCTTCTTCTTCTTCTTCTTCTTCTTCATCAGGAGAGCATATCACAAAAAGTGAAACAATGGGGCTGCCGTATCTTCCAGCGGATTTGGTAGAGGAGAAAATACTCTCTAGGGTTCCGGCTATATCTCTGAGACGATTACGATTTACTTGCAAACGATGGAACTCTTTATTCAAAGATCCCGTATTCAGGGAGAGGCACTTACGTAGCGCTCCAAAGCATCATGGTTGTGTTTTCATGTTGAAGGAACATAGGATTTTTCCACTGAGCGTTGATCTCAACGTTGTTCCTCCATCTATAGAGTTTGAAGATCCACTTAACCTAAGGGATTCCAATTCAGAACAAGTGGA